CTTAATTATGACCTTGAATCGATCGTACAGTTATTACGATTCCTAATACTCAGTGTTCGATCATACTAACGTAATTCCGATCTTACATCACGTTTCACATGATATACGATCGTTCTGCAAATCTCCGATATGTGCATTACACTGCACGTGCATTGTGCGACGTTCCCTTACACTTACTATATTAATGTAGCCATCTTTGTGCTTGTTAGCTGAAACTATTAATAGAGCATGAACTGGTTTCGTTCGTAAAACAAATAGTCAACAGCTTATTTTGTTTGTTCGTTCTGATTTATAAGAATAAAATTCGACAGAATAATTGCTCAAGACCGAATGAACATTTTCATGATAGTAAAAGTCATACTAATCTGTAATTTTATATGACATGGTGTCTGTTATAAGTATTATTATTACTACAATTATATTCAAATCATCGAAACGGGGCTTAAATCTTAGGTTTTAATTATTTTGAGCCCTTATCTGTAATAATATCTGTAATTATTTTCATTTTGGTCCCTTATTTGTAATTATTTTCGTTTTTGGGCCCTTATCTGTAAATTTCTCTTTTTTTAACTTAATTTTTTTTATTTCACTTTTAACTTTTTTTTTATTTTTTCGCTTTTAACTTTTTTTTTTTTATAATTTTTTTAAATTTTTTTTTATTTATTTATTTCTTTATTAATGTTATTTATTTTTTTATTAATGTTTAATTTATTTTTTTTTATTAACATTATTTTTTATAAATTATTTTTTAAAATTATCTCTTTTAAATTAGTTTTTATCGTTATTGTTAATTATTTCTTTATTTTATTTAATTTTTAAATTATTTTTACAGTATTAGTATCCCGCTTTCTTTTCTCCCTTCTTCTTTTATTTATTATTTTTTTTTTTCTTTGTTTTTTTTGTGTCTCCTCTTTTTGTATATTTTGGTAGGTTGGTAGATAGGTGCCTTCATGATGGGTGAGTGGGTGGATGGTTAAATGTTTTTACAAACGGGTAAGTAGATGGTTGGGTGGATAGTTAGGCGTCTCTACGGGCAGTAAGTGGATGGTTAGATGTCTCTACAGATGATGAGAAAATAGCCGAGTATCTTTGTATATTTATAGGTGGGTATCTTCACAGGCAGCAAATGCCTTGTGGTTGGTGGGTGTCTTTGTAAATAGTATCTCTTCGGATGGTGTCTTTTTGGATAGTGTCTTGTTGAGTGGTGTCTTTTCAGGTAGTGCCTTTTTGGGTGGTGTCTTTTTGGGTGGTATCTTTTTGGGTGGTGTCTTTTTGGGTGGTGTCTTTTCGAATAGGTGAGTGCTTTTGTGCATTTTACAGGTGTGTCTTTGCTAAACTAGCTACAAGTCACACTCATCATTAGTAAACTTTATAATATAGTAGGTACTATCACTATTAGATCTGATAATATCTTAATCTAATAAAACCTGTTTACAGGTTTGACAAGATAAAGGGATAGTTTATTTTCAGAATTAAAATTATTTTATTATTTTTGATTTGAAATAGCAAGATAGCTTATTTTCAGGATATAGACATTTTTAAGTTTTTTGTCTAAAAGCAAGGGGTAGCTTATTTTTAGAGTAGCTTATTTTCAGAAATATACGGTATTATGTATATACTAATAGAAAAAATTCTATATTATTGTTGCAGTTTATTATTAAAATCATGTGATATATAAAAATTTTATTTTTTAAAATTGAATATTATTTAATTTATACCAGGTGTATATACACACATATTAATTTATTGATTTATGAATTTGTTTAATATATAAATTGTAAACAAAAATTAGTGTAGTTTAAGATTAGAGTGAGGGTAGCTTTAGGGTTAGAGAAGGTTATAGTTTATATTAAAATTTTGCAAGAAATCTTTTTTGTTAGTACCCAAAGTTGGTTTTATAATCAAAATTTTGAGATATCAATATATGTATGTATATATATTTGGTATACAAATAGTAATCATCTTTAAAATTATACCTAAAAATTATATTAAAAAAAATTACATATTGCTTTTGTTTTTTTTTTAATATTAAAGTGAGGTCACACCTCTGGTTTTTATTAATATATAGCTTCGACAATTACAATTACATATACATATATATTAACTTTACGAACTACAAAGACTTAGACTGATTTATCTATGATCTAAATCTACTAGAGTGGTCTATACCCTACATATATATCATCTAGCTTTGTATTTCCAAACTAATTATTTCTAGTAACTATATATTCTCACCATATTTCACATGACTAGTCATAACTTTCAAGTTGGTATATCAGGTATCTGCTCCTAATGAGCTTCTAAATTGGTATACTTGCAAACACAATCTACTGCAAATCTCCTGACAGATTCTATTAGTACAACTGTAATTGGTGCAGGTGACCTTTTTACAGCCTCATATCTCAAGCCAGAAACTTGTTATCTAGTTAGGTTCACTACATAACAGAGTTGGTATTACATTGCTAGATATACCAATTGGCAAAGACCTTTTCACTTATCTGTCCAAGTACTATTAACCCATATATCAAGCCAAGTTCTGCTATTACCACTGGTTTGCTACCCTAGAACTTAATATTCTTTTTCTGATATAGTAGTACCAACTAATCTATTTGTATTTCCTCATATGGTGTATTACTAGAACTGTATTTTGTAGGATCAAGGTGAGCCTGAGTTCTACTTCTAGCTATAGGCCTTGCATCATATTACTAGAAGGCTTACTCCAATTCACATTAACTTCTAACTTGGACTCTCATCTATTGGTTGGTGTTGCATTATTGTTGGTGTATTCTTGCTTCTTTCGTTATTGACTTCCATATAGATATAACCAGAGCTCTGACTTGGTGCCTTTAAATGTACTAGATTAGCTAGCCTGCCTCTATGAAATTACCTTTTTTAGCTAGTTGTTTCATAGTACCAGAGGTGCTTCCAATTCAGGTAAGGCCAATCCTTTACTATAGCTCTTTACATATCTATCACTTCTCTTGATACTCTAGTTTTGGTAGTATTATATCACCTTTCCAAGCAAGTATCTAATGCCAATCTAAATTAGAACTAATATGCACGATCTATTAATTATTCTTCTAAGCAAGTATTCTACAACTTGGATGCAGGAATGTTGGTACTGTCTAAAGCGAAGACGAAGGGATGTTGGTGTTGTCTCCAGGTCACCCCAACCAGAGGACTTATATATGTGATCTTCTACAACCTAGACCTTCTGTAGAAGACACGCATATTGGCACCACTTCACGATCAGGGCTTCTTCTAAGAATTCTTATTCCAAAACTTGTACTTACACTTGAATTTTCTACAAGGCTTTGCGTCCGAAATAGTGCTCTCACTATTTAGGCTTACAGAGGATTAAAAATCTCAGATTTTATGCTTCCAGGTAGATTCGAACTATTGATCTTGTCTGTGGGAGTTTGGAAGCTTAACCAATAAGCTACGATGCCCAAACCCAAAAATTACATATTGCAAATTTAATTAAAAAGAATAGTGAATTTCATTTTTGTTATCAAATTTGGATAATTTATGAAGTTAGTGAATTGACCTGGGTGGGTATTATCTGGGTTATCTATGAGTATGTGAGTGACCTGAGTTAAGTTGTTGCAGATCAGGTGAAAACAGGTAGGTCAACTCACTAGGTAACTCGTGATTTAACCCACAAGTAGTATAACTTCTCGTAATTGGTCAATCACATGAATTGAATAAATAATATGATTAGCTATCAGTGCAATATATAACAATCAACCAATCAAACTATATTATATCCATAAACTTAATTCTTTATCATTTTTCACTTTCACAAAAGAATAAAGAAAAAAGGAACTACACATATATTTTTTTAAATACTTATCACACCTTTTATACTGAACTAATATAATATTTAAAGATCTATAGTTTATTATACTAGAGCTCATTATAAGATTCATTAGAGCTCTATAGTAATTCCCATGTATATATGTATATAAAGTTTTAAACACTTGTTACTATTTCTACTTTTATATATCAACATTCTTTATATTTTAAATCTCTTCAACATAGCTTAAAAATCACTTTATCTATTTCTAAAAAAAAAAAAATTATACTTTTTTTTTTTTAATAATTCAGCTACATTTAACATTTTAGTAACTATATATAGTTACAGTATAATTAGAACTTTTATCTTCTAAGTAAGGTATCTCTAGCATTTCATTTTAACTTTGAAATATTATATTCTTAAAAAGTACTACATATAATAAACTCAAACTCGTTAATACATCTACAATCTATAAACCAAGCTAACAGACCTACATATAACTCAAAAACCAAATAATTTCAAGTGTTAAACCCAGAACTTCTTTCACAGTAAACTTATTCTTATTCAAAATCAATAGTTAGTAATAAAGTTTTTTAAAAAAATCTAACATAATAAGGCAGTTTTGAGAAAAATGTTCTCACTTATCTTTATTTTCAGTATAATTTAAGATTGTTTAATAAATCATAAGTATTTTTTGTCTTCTAAGCAATGTTTGCCAGGATTAAGATTATTTTTAAAGTATTTTTTTGCAATGTGTATGTTGATGCTGTTCTAAAGTTATGAATATTTTTTGCAATTAGTAAAAGTACTATTAAAAAGTACTTTAAAGTGTATAAATAATAATTTTTTTTCTTACCCTGTGGTTTTCTTTAAATAATCTGATGGGTAACTCGTCAGGTAATTTACAGGTGACCCAGGTAGTTTCTTTTTTAGACTAACCTGTTTTCACTCGGGTGGAACATTGTCTACCTGACAGGTAACCCAGGTGAAGAATTTTTAAATAGGTCAATTTAATATATGAAGTTATAAAAGATGAATATAAAATATAGTACTGCTTGATTATTTATAGATTTTAAAGGTAGTTGTTAGGCTAATAACCTTGGAATACAGGATTTAAATATTAGTTTTTTGCTAAATTAGATCTTGTCAAAGTTGGAGTAGAAGTTGAATTACTCAAATTTACAAATAATAAGTACAATTAAAATATATTATAAATAATAAATTAGTAATTAGAATAATACATATCCAAATTCTCATAATATTGTTCTAGCCTATTATTAAGTATAAATATTTTTGCTGCTATTATTAAATTTGAATTTAAAAAAAAAAAATAACTAATAAACACCACAGGTAATGATCACTTGTAATTTACAATATATAATTTCATATAATATAAACAAATAAATAAACAATCTAATAAATAAAAAAAATTTTTTTTAAAACTTTAGAGTAAGGGTCAGAGCTTATATTAAAGTTAGAGTTTAGTAAGGTTTATAGTAAAATTTTACAAGAAAATTTTTTATTTAAAGTTTCAAAAATGGTTTTATAAGCAAAATTTTAAGATAATTTTACTACAGGTAATAATTACCTGTAGTATAAATTAGAAATTTTTTTAAAAAAATAATCAAATTAATAAATACTATATTATTTCATAATTAAATATAAATAGGTTATACAAATTTAATTTTTTTTGGGTGTGGTGACTTAGTGTAGTTGGTAAGTTGTAGCACCCCAAGCAGCAGAACAAGAGTTTAAATCCTATTGTTAATGAAATTCAAATTTATGAAATGCATTTGGAAAACTGTATTCTATATTGGGTCTGCACCTATAATGGGGTCATACTAGTACTAGGTTGTACTGGAAGATAGTAGAAATACTATGTAATATATAAGTTACATGATAGTGAAGCTACTGGGTAAAACCAGCAGAGCAGAATACAGAAGCTTGCTTGACAAGACCCGAATAGATAGGTAGTACAAATCTTTGATAATACTACTTGATGATCTGGAAAGAGGAACCAAATAGCAAAAAAAGGAGGACCAGAATAGGACCGAAGTATTTGGCAAGACACTCTACCAACCAGATTGCTAGGTAAGTAACCAGAGAAAAAAGACCCAGTTGTGGGACCAGGAGCAGGTCACAGCCCTTCCAGGTCATCTGGATTAGAAGTTTAGAGAACCTGAAATATAGCTTAGTTTGGAAAACCAGAGTACAGATTGTTATGTGTATACCGGAGTTTTGGCAAACTCTATAAGAGCAAAGAGTAGATAATAGTAGCAGCTTCGGCTCGCAAGTACTTGTTCTCAGACTTGGTATAAGTTACTGAAAATTTAGATTAGCCAGATTGTGGGTATAAAAGGCTCTAGTAGGTTTACCACAAGGTTAAATGATTTAGAAGGCCTTAGTGGCAGGTCTTCTTTAGGGATAATGTCAGATAACGTGAAGTTGATCAGAGAGTTTAAATAGAGGATCTATAGGCAGATCCTAGATATAGCAATTGGTGAGTAACTATAGATAGAAATAGATATAGTAGAGTTCTTAAATAGGCAATGACTAAAGTTATACATGTGGCCAATTGTATTCTCATTAATGTAACAATGTCAGGTTCAGTTCATGTAACTTTACTGATATTAAATCTGAAGTTTAATAAACTATGCCAGACCTCTAAGTGGTCATCTTAATATTTAAAAAAAAAAAACAAATTTAATTTTTTGCTTGCATTATACAGATTTCAGATTTCTAGTTAGTTGGTTAGATTTTTTTTAATCTACAATAAATTAATAAACTACTATTTATATCTAAGGCCGTAAAAGTTAATTTTTTACTTTATAAAATATAAAATCAAAAATTAGGTTAAAAATTGACTCTTTTTCTATTAGTTCTATTAAATAATTTTAGATAAACAAGTAATTTATAAAAAACTAAATAGTAAAAATAGAATAAATTAATACAATTGAGGCTTAAAAAATAAAAAATTGAAAAAATAATAAGAGTTCTATATATTGCTTAGCTTAATAGCTAAGTAGTTTTTAAATCTCATATAAGAAAAGCCTAGATATTTTAACTTTATATTTTTTTCTGTCTATTTATTTTAACTATATAAAAAATTTGCAAGAAAAATCTTAAACTTATAATTGAATATATCTTTATATCTGTCAGCTACTAGTAACTATTTGCTATATATTTATTTGTATTTTGTATATACAAAAAATTAAAGAGCTCTAAAATATCTTTATTAATTAGTAGTTTATTATATAATATTGAAGTATTAAAAAAAAGTTAAATCAAAACACAATTGCTTTTTTATTATTATTTATCTATTATTCGAATTATCAATACTTAGGGACGTGACAAAAATCAGATAATTTTTTAGGGAGGGAGGAGGGTAAAAAAAGTTAAAATTATATAAAAGAATCTGATTTTTTTTATATTAAGAGGGGGAGATGAGTAAGCCTCTGATAAAAAATAATCAGGTGATAAATAATACTACCCTTATCACATTAACTGATTTATTTTTTTTTGTTTGTTTTGATATATTTCAAAATTATAGTTATACAATATATGAAGTAATTCAGATAGTTAATATACTTTTAAACTAATAAAATTTAGAATGTGTAATACAATTAACTAGATTGCCTAATTGTTTACTATGTATAAATATACTATAACTCTTAGCATGTATATATTAAACCTGGGTCTACTATACTATATAGTTTAAAATTAGTAGAAGTAAAAGACTTAGATCTATTTTTTTTTTCTCACTTAGGCAGATTATACCAGTATCTTTTATTTAATAAAGATCGAATTTGTAGAAACATCATAAATATTAAAATAAGGATCTGACATCCTGTGGTTGCCTCACATAATC